GAAGAGAGAGAGAGAGAGAGAGAGAGAGAGAGAGAGAGAGAGAGAGAGAGAGAGAGAGAGAGAGAGAGAGAGAGAGAGAGAGAGAGAAGGGCAACAACAGTTCTGTCTTCGTTCTCTGGATTGTGGGGATGAGCGGAGTTGCTGGCTTGTTGGTCTTGACTTTAAAACAAGGTTATGGATCGAGCAAGAGATCATTACATGATTTGCAGTCATTTTTCCGACTGACAAATCGCTGACATTGTTGTCGAACACACCTCCTAGCCCGCAGTCAGTCCGTCACAGATCAGATAAAGTATACTGCATACGAGCCAGAGCGGCGGGCTGTGGCCTCAAGCTCACGACAATCGTAATGCCAATCCCACACTCGACCTCTCTGCTTCTTCCTTCTTCTTTCCCTGCACTCCTGCTTCTATCTTCTCTTCCCACACCTTTCTCTGCCGCGCCCTCCTATTTCCTCTACCTACCTCGATGCCATCACCTTCAATCGACAAATTCCAATCGCACATTCTTCGCTGACAGACAAGACCTAGTACTCAATCAGATCACCTGGCAAGGACAAAACTGAGATTCGCAAGTAGCTATAGCTGTAGGACAAAAGGAGTACAATTTTTATGATAATAATAAAATAATAAAGTGAATATATTAATGTAATAAAAAGATAACAATTCTCCTTAGAGTCGAATCCAACACCTTGCTTTCCTCACCTGAGTTCATCCGCCAATTGAGAACAACTGTCTTCTCTCTTCCTCTCCCTCATCCCCTTCCGTCGCCCGAGTCTTTGGTTGGTTTACTTTCCATCCCTTCTTTTTCACTCTCTGCTCAGGCTACACCTCAGGTTGTACACCGACCCCTGCTCAGGAGTCACGATAACAAATCCTTTCCCCTCCCTCCCCCCTCCCTCTCCCCTCCCTCTCCCCTCCCTCCAATTGTCCTTGTCCGGACTTCCCGCCCCCAAGATCTTTTTGAACACGCCAACTAGTTGGAGGGACGGGGGAGGGAGGGGAAAGGAATGTCCATTCAACGCGCCAACTAGTCCGTTCATCACAAGTATGCTGGCAACTGAAGGGGGCGGAGGGGGGGGAGGGGGGGGAGGAGGAAACACCCCTTTTGCCAAAGCAATTCGCAGGAAATTATATTTTTAAGAATTAACAGAGGGGAAAAAAAAAAGGAATGCAAACAAGCCCAAGAAGCTGATATGGTGAAAATATCCGCCAAGAGATAAATATGCCCCAGGCGGAACTTCGGGGAGGAGGCAGAGGACGGTGGAGGTGGAGGGGGAGTGGGGAGAAGGACTGCCGGTTGCATGGCACTGATCTGACCGTTGCATGGCAGACTTCACAGATCCGCCATGGGAGGAATAAGAAGCGCGAAAGGGACACGCACACAAGCACCTCCCAGGGAGTGCTTGCACATATTCGCATACAATCCCCCCACATGCCTCCTGAAAGGACGAACAGGCAAGCGGGAGGCGAAGGCTTCGCGGGATAGGAGAGGACGCAAGCGGAGCGGGGGAGTTAATAAAGGACAACCTAGTAGTTAGTGTCTGTTCGTGCAACGCAAGGTCTACACTGCGAGTAGAGAAAAAGGGAGAGGACAAAACTACACCACAGGGGCAGGGGAGAGAGAGAGAGAAGACGCGGAGATGGAGGCGGACCGTGGAGATGAAAGGAGGCGGGAGAGAGGGAGAGAGGGAGAGAGAGAGCGAAAGAGAGAGAGAGAGAGAGAAGACGCGGCGGGCGATCTAAAGAAATGAACAGAAGAAACTTCAAGGGAAGAGTGCGCGTCCATAGTCAGCTGTGCCAACGGTGCCGCGCACCACTCGGACGCAACGGACAACGATGATCAGCCGAGCAGTGCGAGGCGCTACACTCTTATATTATTATTATATATATATATATATTTTTTGTTTATTATTATCTCATAGATCTGTGGAATCCAAAGCTTGTGGCGGAGGAACTATCTACTAGCTTATTTCCCAGTGCACAGCTCCCTATTACGTATCTTGACTGTATCTGGCCAGGATTTATGAGCCTCTATACATTGAAGATGATCGATAGCATTCATTGGTTGTCATGGTGTTCCCTTGCGTGGCAATGCGATCATCAGCGGTGTCGACTGTCCCCGGAGGTCCTCTCCTTTGACTCTCCCCCTGCCTCTCCGCCCCCCCCGCCTCCCCGCCTTATATCTTGAAAGACTTTCCGCCGCCCGCCAATCCGTTTCCCGCCCAATGAGAGCGCTATTGGGAGCACCACAAGTGTGTCTCTCGAAGGCGGTTCAACTCAGTCGTCCGATCCTCGATAGGGGATGCAAATGGCACCCACCGTTCGATGGTATCGCCCCCGCTTAGCAGCCCAAGAAAACAAAAACAAAAAACAAAAAACAGAAAGAAAGAAAAGAGTGACGATCGAGTCGCACACTGCAACCCAGGAGGAGGAGGAGGAGGAGGAGGAGGAGGACGCCCCTCTCTTCGTACCAATCAATTCCCCCCGCCCCCCCAAAACCCCTCCATGTCCATCCAAAAAAAAAAAAAAAAAACGCAAGACTGACGATCGATTCGCAGACCGCAATCCAGGAGGAGGAGGACGCCCCTCTCTGTGGTCCCCCACCCGTCACATAGTTTTCCTCCTTTCGATTGTAAAAGGCAACTATAGTTAGTTCATGTCGTGTTGCCGCCGCCTCCCAACCCCGCACGGCCAATGTGAGGTCTTCTCGGTGATCCAGTGGCTGTGGTGGAACTCCGCTTCTACTCATCCATCCTCTTCTTGTTGCACGCAACTAAAGCAGAATACGGAGCCTCGCAAAAAAAAAGCTCTTCAGTGCGTTACTTCGGCTCTTGTGCGAATACTCTTGTTGCATGTAATGTTGAGCTTCCTGAGTTTCTTAAGGCTCTCCTCTTGTGTGAATCGTCGTCGCTCTCCAGGTGAAAATGAGCTCGTGCTGATTGCACCGTGTACAAAGAGCAGATCCAAGTCCGAACGTTGAGGGGACACGTTCCGATCTATCTATATTGATGTCATCCTTGAGGGAGTCTGAACGTGGACTCCTTCTCATCATCCAGGCAGCCTGAACGTGTCCCCTTTCTCATCTTTCGACCCCGAGCACCTGAAGAGGCACGTTCTCTACGACAAACTGAGTACGCACTTAGACCGGCTCCGATCTCATCTTCCCGAGCCCCGAGCAACTGAAGAGGCAAGTTCTCCACGAGCAATACTGAGGGCGCACTATGTTCCTGAGTTCGCACTGCTGTGAAGACAAATCTTCCTGAACTCCGGGCAACGGAGAGCGTCGTCGAACCGGCTGTGAAGACTCATCTTCCGAGCCCCGAGCAACTGAAGAGGCACATTCTCGAGAAGCACCTGAGGGCGAACTACGTTCCTGAGTGTGCACACAGACCAGACCGGCTGTGAGGACTCATCTTCCTAAGCCCGCACAAAAGGAGACCGGCGCCGAAGACTCCTCTTCCCGATCCCCAAGCAACTGACGAGGCAGATTCTCCACGAGCAATACTGAGGGCGCCCTGGGACCGGCTGCGAAGACTCGTCTTTCCCCCCCAACTGAAGAGGCACGTTCTCCACGACCAACCGAGTGCGCACTAGGTTACTGAGTGCGCACTCAGACCGGCTGTGAAGACTCGTCTTACCGAACCCCGAGCAAAGTGCGCACTCAGACCGGCTGTGAAGACTCATCTTAACCAACCCCGAGTAAAGTGCGCACTCAGACCGGCTGTGAAGACTCATCTTCCTTATCCCGCGCAGCTGAAGAGGCACGTTCTCCACGACCAACCGAGTGCGCACTAAGTTCCTGAGTGCGCACTTAGACCGGCGGTGAAGACTCGCCTCCTTTCAACTCAAGAGGCACGTTCTCCACGAGCATCTGAGTCCGCACTCAAGCCGGCTGTGAAGAAGTACAGTTTATGTATACTTATGTCTGGCTGATAGCGTAGGTTGCCGTCACCAACTTGGTCCTCCGAGGAGCCACTGCTGGTCAAGCCAGCCAAGAGAACTCGCCCCTCCGTGCTACTGTTTCAACAGCCTACATTCATTCTATAGCATGGCGGCGGATTCGGTGAGGATCGAGCTGTCGTGGAGTGAGTGGGGAGGGGGAAGGCGCCCTATATATATGTTTATATAAGCTGAGGCCTTTTAGTCACCTGCAATTCGGCTACAGCGCCGGTCTGTGAGGATATATTGCTTAACGAGAAGTGAAATCTGTGAAATACGTTAAGGTCGCCTACCGGATCACGGCGGCTATACTACATACGGGGCACTATGCCACATCGAGCACTCACCCTTCTTCCACCAACAACAGGAACGTTCTGCCCATCGCCAGAGCATCTCCCCCTGCCATCTCTCTTCAATCGTCTATCCTAAGTTCGCCGTCGCACAAGTAACAGTAGTGCAACATCTTCGCTTGTGAACATGTGTAGCGAAAAGACAGAGAGAGAGAGAGAGAGAGAGAGAGAGAGAGAGAGAGAGAGAGAGAGAGAGAGAGAGAGAGAGAGAGAGAGAGGGAGAGAGAGAAAGAGAGAATGTAGGCACTGAGAGAGAGAGAGAGAGGTTAACGCCACAATGGAATGCATCCTACACTCTTCGGAGAAATGAGATGGATGACCCTCGTCTATTTCATCTGAACAGTACGGGTTGCTGTGAATGCCGTAGATTTCTCCTCTTGGCAGATGGCAGCGTCATTGCATGAGGAGAGGGATCACTTCCCTCTCTCTTTCTCTCTCTCTCTCTCTCTCTCTCTCTCTCTCTCTCTCTCTCTCTCTCTCTCTCTCTCTNTCTCTCTCTCTCTCTCTCTCTCTCTCTCTCTCTCTCTCTCTCTCTCTCTCTCTCTCTCTCTCTCTCTCTCTCTCTCTCTCTCTCTTTTCATCTATCTCTATCTCTCTCTGTGTTGCCTTCATAAATGGAACGATGGGGGCGCGTCGGAAGACGAAGGTGCATCGTTGCTATTCGCATAAGCAAAACATTCCGTAGCGAAGACCGATTCGATAACCGGCGGGATCATCACGGTGTCGATCACGTGGATGGTAGAGTTGATTAGCAGACGGAAGTCTGGCCTCGTCATGAAAGCCTCCCCGCCGTCGTCGTCGCTAATCCGCACTCTTCCTCGGGATGTTAGATTGAAATGCAGAGGAAGGCCACTGTCGGCATGAACAGTCTGCATTGCGATTAGCTCCGTAGCATTATGATTACCCACCAGAATGTGGTACTTAGTTATTTGCGAGAGAACGTTCAGCGATGCCGGCTTACTGTACAGGCAGTCCAGCACAGCCGGGTCAAACACGGAGAAGGCCGTATTGTTGGGAGCGAGGACGGTCACGCCGCCGCCGTTAGCTCTGCTAATGGCAACGTGGAACGTGTCCGAGACGAGAAGAGCCTGCACGAACATCGTCAGATCGGGTTGTTCCGCAAGTTTGCCCTCAAGTAGCACACCAGCATTTATCTCGGTCACGTTTTGCGAATCCTCCCCCTGAGCGGTGGCAGAAGCGATGGCGCCACAGCCGCCGGGACTGCTCCAGATCAGCAGACACGTCAGCATTGCAATAATTGCAAGTCGGAGAGCTTCTGTCGTTCCCGCCATCGCGCTCTGCCTACCGGTAGTGCCGAGCAGAGAGCAGTGCTCACGGTTGACCAAGCTTCCAGCCCAGGGCCCCCCCAAACCCCCCCCGCTGTCTATACCCCTTTCGGAAACACCTGCCGTTCACTGGCTAACGATCTCCCCTCTTTCCCCTCGCCCCTTCCTCTTCCTCTCCTCGACTTGTCCTCGCTTTTGCCGCCTTCTGCTGGAATCACCCCGCCCTCTCCATGCACTCCTTGTCCTTGGCGCCAACGCACGCCCAGATAGTCGCCTTGTGGCGCTCAACCCGCGCTTTCGTCGCCCCTAAAAGAGGCTCCGGTCACCCCGCTTTCGTCAATCAAATGCCCGCCGTTCTCACCCTCCGATCTCCCCGCCCTTGTCGACGGCGGCAGGATATCTTCCTGGATCCTAGAGGGACGGAGAGCATCATCTCTCCATGTCCCCGCTTCATTCATTGCTCCTCCACGAGGCCCTGATTAGGATTTGTACGATCCTGGATCGGCGGCTCTTCTGAGCTCCTTGATAGGGGCAGTTTGATCTCTCCAGCCGCCTCATTGCTTCTGCAGAGCGCGAACCGATGCAAACCCAAAAGGGTGTCCTGTTTCCCGCCTCCACGTATTCTCCACTGCCCTTTTCGAAAATCAGAGACAGCACTTCATTTGTCTGTCCGTTGCTCCTTTTTTTTCGTTGGCTGGCCTGCCCCATGTATTGGCCCTCTGCCTTGGCATATCGTCGAACTGACCGGCCCAATGTGATTCAGAAGTTCGACCGGCCCAATGTGATTCAGAAGTATTTGATATCATTCAAACACTTCATTTGGATCCGAACTAAGGGTCTACTCTAGACTCTCGAAGATTTTTTAGAGTGAGTCTAGAGCTGTCAGACTCTAGAAACGACTGAAAAAGAGAACATCGCTCCACTTACTCTAGAGGTCACCCTCAAGAAGGGAGGCATAATGCAAGAAGAGGGTGGAAGAGGCGGAAGAACGCATGGAAGGTCACCCCATTTCGCTGATGGTATGCCGCAGAACGTGAAAGAAGGTTAGCGGAGTGGGACAGCATTCAAGAAGAGAAGCAAAAGAGATGGACGGAGGTACTAAAAGAGAAAGGGTTCGAGACACACGACAAGATGACAAAGGAGACGTTCCAAAAACTACAGCCGAGCCGTACAGCAGCAGATGATCGAACTCAAACCCCCGTTTGACGAGTCTGCACCCCCAGCCTGTTCCGCAGCTGGGATGCTGCAGTATGCAAGGATGTACGATGAGGACATACTTACCTCCAGGCGACCGCAGGAGGGGGTGAACGTGGACCTGTCAAGCGGGTCGGACATGTGGGACAGCACAACTGTAAAACTGCATACAACGGCCAAGCTGGATCTGGACAGACCTTTCACGGTGGAAGAACTTTCCCAAACATTGAAGACAATGGCGAAGGGCAAGTCTCCAGGAGTAGACGAACTCTCGGTGGAGTTTTACGCAGTGAACTGGGGGATGCTAGGGTCGCTACTAGTGGAACTGTACAATGAGGTCCTAGTGGGGGGTAAGCTGGGCAAGGGCATGACGCATGGGGTGATCACGGTCCTGTTCAAGAAGGGTGACAAGGCGGAGGTCCGAAACTGGCGACCAATTTCCCTTCTAAACGTCTCCTACAAAATTCTGGCGAAGTCGCTCGCTCGCAGGCTGTCCAAATACCTCCTAGAGCTGGTGGAGAAGGACCAGGGGGCGTTCGTGCAGGGACGCCCTATTTTCAACAATATAGTGACAGCCATAGAGCTGTCTCTTATACACATCTAGATGTGTATAAGAGACAGGTTCAAGAAGGGTGACAAGGCGGAGGTCCGAAACTGGCGACCAATTTCCCTTCTAAACGTCTCCTACAAAATTCTGGCGAAGTCGCTCGCTCGCAGGCTGTCCAAATACCTCCTAGAGCTGGTGGAGAAGGACCAGGGGGCGTTCGTGCAGGGACGCCCTATTTTCAACAATATAGTGACAGCCATAGAGTCCCTCGAAGTGATCCAAGAAGAGAATCGAGACATGGCGGTGCTCCTGCTGGACCTGGAGAAAGCGTACGACAAGGTGGGTTGGACATTCGTCCTTACCACCTTGCGGAGGATGGGTTTTGGCGACAGCTTCTATGCTTGGGTCATTGCGATGTACACATTCTCCTCTTCAACAGTCATGATTAACGGAAATTTATCCGCTCCTTTTCAATTGTCAAGATCGCTACGACAAGGTTGTCCGCTTGCTCCGCTGATTTTTGTGCTGCAACTAGAGGTTCTACTAAACAAGATCTGCTCTCATCCGGAAATCAGAGGCCTGCAGTTACACAATGGGGGGGACTGCAGAGTCAAAGCCCTTGCGGACGATCTCTTCGTAGTCAGCGAGAACACGGTCGCCTCGCTCTCAGCTCTCAAAGCGTGATGTGTGAGTACTCGACACTGTCGGAGGCATCAGTCAACTGGAACAAATCTACCTACCTTCTACCCACTCAGTTCTCGCTGAAGGTAGAGTGGGGCATGAGAAGGGTAGAGGAAGGCGAGGAGGAGAGATTTCTGGGAATTTGAATAAGTCTGCAGATAGAGGTGTCCGGTCAAGGGTTCCAGTTACAACAGAGGATTGGAGCACGTCTCAGGCTGTGGGGCTCGGCCTGGCACCTCTCACTGGTAGGAAGAGCCTTGGTAGCCAGCTTTGCATTATTTTCTATTCTGTGGTTCGTCACCACGGTGAGAGAGCTTGCAATTGGCATAGTGAAGGCAGATAGAAGGTTGGCGGCGCAATTCGTATGGAAACCTCGGGCCAGCAAAGACGAGGGTTTCATTTCTAAAGTGGTGAGGGACACTCTGTCTTTCCCACGTGAGGAGGGAGGATTGGGTATGATAGACCCAGCCCGAAGGAATCAGGCACAGCGACGCAGCTGGGTGTCCAAGGTTGTGGTGCAGGGCCCAACGGAGCACTGGGTTGTGTTGGTCGAACAGATCCTGATGAAGGAGTGGGGCCTCTGCAGGCCTAAAGACGTCTGGGCATGTTTTTTCATGCCATCACTCAGGAAGAAGAGACTAAAATCAGGTTTTTTTTAAGCGATACGCAAGGCTTGGAACAAGATGCCCCCAAATGTGCAAAGTATCCCGCTATCAAAGGAAGATGTAATGGGTCATCTACTCTTTGAGAATCATTATATTCTGGACCACACTGACTCCCCCATGTCCGCTGACGGCTCGAAAGGCACCTTTGGGTTGGCATGGATAAAAAGGGGAGTAGTCTGTATCGAGGATCTGTGGTCCCCGTGGTTGGGAGGGTGGAAACCTCGGGCGGAGGTGACAGAGACTCTCAAGGGCCTACAAAGAGTGGAAGAACACTGGAGGCACATAATTGAAGTTATCCCACAGGACTGGGTAAGGCTGTTGGGTCCGATTGGAGTGGATCCCCCGGGTACATGGTACATCTCGGGTCTGGAGCTGGAGACAAATGTGGTGTGGAAGGTGCTAGAGGTCTTGCCCAACGGTTTTAGGAAAGTCCAGAAATGGAGGTGCAGAGGCCCCTCCAACACCTTGTCGTTGATAGAAGAAGAAACAGTCATGACTTGGAATAACCATGCTGATGGAAGTCAGGGTAGTGGAAGTGCGAGGCAAGAGACCACTTACCAGGGTTCTCTCATGGGTTGGCAAGATTCCGCTGCGCCACCTCGGCATGGACCCACTGGCCTGGGGCTGAAGTTCGACAGGGGGTGAGCCTGTTCTGAAGCTGATAGAGTACTCGGCCACACACGGATACCAGCAATCTCAAAAGCTCATAAAGTGTCCTGCCAAAGTCGCAGTCCCAAGATGGCAGGCAGTATGGGGTGAGGACTTGTCATATACAAAACATAATTTCTTAAAACTGTGGAAGATCCTGGTCGCGCCGCCAAACAGTAAACAGGCAAGTATTCTCTGACTACTCTCCCTTCTAGTGACCCCATCAGTTGTTTGGCTGGTTAGCAAAGGGATGGAGGTTGATCTGGGCTGCACACGGTGCAGAATCGCCCCGCCATGTATGGTGGGACTGCCCAGCTTCAAAACGAGTATGGAATTGGTCGGCTCATCATTGGAGGGAATTCGGGGGCCAACATGTGCTCTGGGATGAGAGGTGGGTGCTACTGGGATTTCTCCCCCCATGAGTAATTTTTCATTATTGATCCAAACATGTCAAAAATGGACACATAACGTACCGTAAAACACATATATATCACACAAAAAGAAAAACTAGAAAAAAGCAAAAAATCAGCACAATATGACAGTTTCAGTGCAATTTGGTGCAAAATTCGTCGAAAATAACACCCCTGGTTAACCGCTTGTGGATCAGAGGCCTGATATGTGAAGTCATCTGGTTTGACAGTAACAAATCCAGATTCCACAAGAGGCCCTTCTCAGACGTGGAAATCAAGAGACACCTAAGACAAGGACTGAGACAGGCCATCCGTGTGGACTGGAGAAGGAGAGTCAGATCGGGCAGAGGAAGCTGAAGACAAATTCGCTGGTTTTTACACACATGGGCTAAGAACCACCAGTTGGCCGCAATCCACTTAGAGAAAGGTCTGGTCCTGTCGAGGTGGCTGATGGACACACCAGGACAACAGGCGAAGCAGAGGGAGGAACTGGAGCAGAACAAAGAGCTTTTGGGAGCTAGGGAGCCAGGGAGTTAGGGGGTGATGGGTAGCTAGTTGGGTAGGTAGAGTACCAACCAGGGCACTCGGTTGAATAGGACCGCGGTAGGTCAGTTAGGAGAGGGTCGGTTAGGCTTAGGACCGGTGTGTTTCCCGGTCCTCTGGGCCGAGTTAGTCCCAGAGATAGGCGTAGGGACATAGTCCACTGAAAGCAGGTGCTGAGGGTAAATGAGTCATTCTGATGAAATTGATCAAGTTGTTGAACTTTCCGTTAATTTACTCAATGTTCACGTCAATGATTTATTGAGGGACTTCTGAAACAGGAGTACAGGTCGAACAAACAGTTTTTCGTATTGGTAAACCTGCGCAACAGGTTCGAAGGAGTGTTGTCTAACTAATGAAGGTAGGTAAAGTGATAACATTTTGAAGTATTGCGTTGTTTGGCGCAGGT